GAACTGAACAACAACAAACAGTCCTGATCACCTAATATTCAGAAAGAGCAGCAACTGAAATGTGATGGTGCATCTCGTCTCTTGTCCACCTGGACGCTTAAGGTGTGTACAGTCAGCTTCCTGGCTGTAAATCTTGTTGCAACGCTGTTGAAGATTTGGAAAATCTAGCAAGAAGGGTGGGTGGGGGAGACAATATCACCCCCTCCTCTCCCTCTCCTCCTCTCTGGTAGCGCCTTCTGCCTCTCTTTTATGCTGTGAAACCATTAGTGGAATCTAATCTCCTCTCTCAAGCAGACAATTAGCAACCGTGCAGGGTGGGAGCCATTTATGAGGTCACCCACTCAAACAGCACTTATCTGAAGTAAATGCCTTGTAACTAATCAAGGAGAAGTGACATCCTCCAGCACCATCACTGCCATCTTTACACCCACCAGACAACCTCCCCCATTTGTTGACGTCTCAGGGGGTCCAAGATTTCGTTCTTTCCCTCTCTCCTCCTCTTCCTTTTCTTGTCCTTTCAATGAATCGTTTGGATTTAGGTAAGGAGTAAACAGCTTCTTCCCATTTTCCTCCCACACTCCTTTGGGGGTACTTTTCTGTTTAGATCTCGTTTCCCCCTCCTCCTGTCCCCATAAACACCTATCAGCCTTCTGCCTTTTCAAGACACAAAAGGTGACTTGTTAATACCAATGCTGTTGAAGCTTGAATAACCACAGGAGCCCAAGGTGATCAATGATCACCTTGGAGGGGAAAAATCTATTGATGCTCGTGGCTTCATTTCAAAAAGTCACCTGTGTGACAGCTGGTGGTTGTTTTGGATGGCTCTTAGGTTTAGATTGAAATGTAAGAGCTCTTGGGGGGGAGGTGTTGGTTGGTTTATTTTAAAATTTGCTACATGTCTCTTAGGTCCTTGGTCAACAATCTACCCAAGATCTGAAGATCAACATCAGCCCAAGATTTGGAGAACTGGGAATGCATTGTGATGATGGCTGGCTTGGGAGTCATTGTATGCTGTCAAGTCATTTATGGAGACCTTATGAATGTGTGTGTTTTGTGCCATCAAGTTGGAACTGACTTATAGTGCACCCAATAGGGTTTTCAAGGTAAATGAGATGTTTAAGGAGTGGTTTTACCAGTTCTGTTCCTCCAATGAATTTCCATGGCCAAGTGAGGATTTGAACCCCATTCTCCAGAGTCCTAGTCCATCATTCTATCCACTATACAATACCGTACTTGAAATCTACCGATGAATGGCCAATCTCAAAAGGTCCTGTCTTCAACTGCCCTGCTCAGCTCTTGTAAACTCAAGTCTGCCTGTGGCTTCCTTTCGACCATCAGCCCATCTTGCATTTGGTCTTCCTCTTTTCCTGCTGCCTGCCACCTTTCCCAGCACGATTGTCTTTTCCAGAGAACCCAGCCTTCTCATGATGTGCCCAAAGGAGGACAGCTGCAGCCTCAATAGTCTTTCTTGGTCTACAGAGTCCAAAATATGTCACCCTGTTGGCTCATTTGTCTTTCCATTGGAGAGCTAAAACATCTGAAGGACCAGCCCTAACGTGGTCACCGGCCATGCTGTCTGTCTGCATGTTGCTACTTCGGATGGCAAAACGTCCAGCAAGAAGCATGCCTGAAAGGAGAACGAGAGAGAGAAAGAGAGAGAGAGAGAGAGATGAGTTGGCCATGCTTTCATTTTCCCACAGTTGTGTTGATCCAATGAAAATAGAAGAAAGGAGCAGGTAGAAACTCATTCTGAACAATTGAGCCCCCCACACTCTCATTCCCGATAGCCTTGGCAAATGGTGTCAATCCATCAATTTATGCCTTCTTCTTTACATCAGCTGAGTGTCCATGGAACAGTACACCCTTAAGGATCTCTTGCCCTTCTTTCATTTTCCCACAGTTGTGTTGATCCAATGAAAATAGAAGAAAGGAGCAGGTAGAAACTCATTCTGAACAATTGAGCCCCCCACACTCTCATTCCCGATAGCCTTGGCAAATGGTGTCAATCCATCAATTTATGCCTTCTTCTTTACATCAGCTGAGTGTCCATGGAACAGTACACCCTTAAGGATCTCTTTGGCTTTAAGATGAAAAGAAACACCAGTCTTTTTCTCTTCTTTCATTCCTCCCTCCCTTTCTTTTATTATTTTTAAAGGAGGCCATAATTCCCAAACCCAACCGTGCCCCCTCAGTAACTTTGAGCGACAGAGCATTTGCGCCCAGCTGCTGGGGTCTTTGAAACCCGTTTCCAGTGTCCTGTTTTCCCTCTCCACTGGATCATTACCTCCTCGCATGGAACTAATCAACATTTACAAATTGAAATTAATCTACCAAACAGAGCCCCTTTGATTGGGTTTTATTACGCTGCTTAAACATGCCTACTCTGTATATTTGGATATGCTGGAAATCTGAGAAATGATAGCAGTGAAACCCACATCGCTTCTCATGCTTGCGTTGGAACATTTGGGGTTGTTGTTGTTGTCGTCGTCATCATCATCATCACTGTTGCTGTTAAAAGAAAAACATTTTTATTTGGTAGAGAGTAAACCTCTCTATTTGGGAGTGATGGCATCGAGTTTATGCTTTTTCGTTCAGAGGCTGCAAGTCACTGAGTACTGCACAGAATCCGGAGATGTTTAATGTGAATCATTCATCTACTCTCAAGTATTTTTTAAACTATTTTGTTTTCTTTTAAAGGCAGAAAAAAAATCTCAAAGTGATCTCAACACTCCACCCTCCAGATTTTGTGTATTAAAAAAAACACCAAGTGATGATCATATGACGGGGGAAGCATGTGCCCGATGGCACAGAGATAATGAATGCAGCAAGCCCAAATGATTGTGGAAGCGGGTGCGAGTCTCAACAATGAATTGTTAGGAACGCATTGTGTTCTGCACGTGATCAGTTTCACTGGGATGACTTAGAGCTGCCGAAAACAGCTTCCAGTTCCTCGTGGGAGGCGTGCTGATCATACTGAAAGATTTCCTAGGACATTGTAACGGCATTTTGCATCTTCATTTGTCCGAATATACAGAAATGCTCTGGATCTTCAGAGGAAGGCAGTTTGCAGTGCCAGCCTGTGTGCACATGGTTTATTCTGTTGGGGAGGTTGATCTCTGGCGGCCTGTCTACTTGGTGAATCACAGATTCGAGGATGCCTGGGGGACAGAACGATTGACCAGGCAACCCAGAAGGATAGAATCTGGAAGCAAAAGGATCTCTTTTCCTTTCTTTGCTACAAGTCCAAAAATTTCAGTTACAATTCCCAGTTTCTAGTGACCAGCATCCAGGCTGCCTGGAGACTTATGGGTGCATCAGTTGTTGTTTTTTTAAAAAGGAAGAAAATTATCCAAGGTCCACTTGGGTGGCTTTGGGGAGATCTCCAGAGGTTCCATCACTGATTCATCCTTCTGAAGCTGGAACTGATTGGAAGAGTCACCTAAAGTTCTTGGATCATCCTCCCAGCACAAGCAGGCACATGGAAAGACCAGCTGTTTGCTTCTGCAGCACCACTGGAAGCAGTTGGCCATCTGAAGGGCTGAGATACAGGGCGTCTGTGAGAGGAAGCAGAACGTTATTAGAAGGCGATAACTTTATCTCATTCCTTCTACTGACAACATGCAGTCCCTATTCCAGCAGGTTGCCTGGGTCATTACAACACTTTAATTTTTTCCTCTTTTTCCTCTTCCCTCCTCATCCCTTATTCCTTGTGCGCCATGTGTTAAATTTAAACTGCAAGCCAGAGATCAGGGGCTATATATAGCACAACCCCAGTGAGTTTACACGTCTGAGTGGGGATTCGAACGCAGACCACCTGAGCCCTAGTCTGCCACGCTGTCCAATACACCACATTGGGTATCCTGCAAGCCAGAGATCAGGGACTACCCTAATATATATATATGTAGCACAACCCCAGTGAGTTTCCTTGTCGGAGTGGGGATTCGAATGCAGACCTCCTGAGCCCTAGTCTAACACGCTGTCCAATACACCACATTGGGTATCCCCAAATACTGAGGTTCCAGAAATAATTTCAAGCAGTGCACAGTTGCCAGTCACATGACAAAGCCAAGGAGAGATGATGATGACAGGTGTGGAATAATAGTCATCTCTTGGATTCTACCAACATCTGATTTCCATCTTGATGTAGTTTTTCTGTACTATCAATGAATACAGATAGACTAGTCTTCTCTCCAAAGCAGCCTACAGGTTGGTCTAGAAGTGGTTTGGAACACGAGAAAATGAGACGTAAAGTCCAATTTTTGAGAGAGGTTGACATTTACACCGTAAAAGCGCTGGAACGTCCACAGCTTCAGCCCAGAGGCATCAGAGGATGGAGTTTCTGACCACCGAGAGGTAGTTCTGATTTCTGTGGTCGGAAGAAAGTATTGCTACTCGGACAAATTGGCTTGCAACATATTAATTGATGCAATAATTGGAATGACAGATTTGAGGTTGGCCCAGGTTTCACCAGTATTTTGTCTGTAAATGGTCTGCTTTGTAAGCGCTTCATGTTTTTATCAGAAAAAACCCACATATTGATGGCAAAAACATCACAGAAACATGGTAGCATCGCGTCTATTAACATGCTTATTCCAGCATGTCATATCTCATAGAACACGGACCTGTTTCGGGCCCTAGAATACTTCTCCATTAATTACATTCGAAGCACATGTATCCATATCGGAGCGCTTGGGCTTGTCTCTTCCCATTAGTTTAACAAGCCCTGGTATTAATGAGATGGCTTCATAATTGAACCTTTTCACGGGTCCCCTGATTCAGAAATTATGCTAATCGGAATTTGCAAACACGAGGCATCCATCATACTTGATGAAACAGTAAACACCAACAGCGATCCACGTGGAGTGCAAATGCACCCTTATTTATTACGGGAATGAACACGCCTCGTTATTTCATCTTTATGGATGGGGAACATGTCGGGGAGCGCAAGGAAGCCAAGATGCCCGGGACTTCCACTATGTGGCAGCATGCTCCACTCTTATCGCAACCGAGCTTCAGCCCGCTGCATAGTCCGGGTGGGTGGACTCAGCAAACCTTTTCCATCGACAACGAAGTTTGAAGGGTAAGTTTTGTGTATGTTTAAGAGAGACCCAAAGGACTGACGTTTCAGCTCTAAGAGTCTTTTGAGCTAGAAGTGGGGACAATAGCTCTGAATTCCAGAGGGCCAGTTAATGCAGAGCAATAAATAAAAGTTTACGGAGTTTTCAAATGATTTCCAATGCACATGTATTAGGGTCTGAATGTTTTGTAGCATTCAAAACTTTCTGTGTGTCTCGGATCTGGTCTTTGGTTGCTAAACAGCAGCCTGTTCAGAAAATCACCCCTCTGCAGACAAATACGGGGTTTTAGATTTTATTTCAAGAGCCAAACTGGCATAGCTGTAGCCAGTCTTGCATGGTGATTCTACATGGACTCCCTCACTGTCTGTGATATTTAATCCCAATTTATTTTCAATTATCAGAAATTATTTATACCAGCTGGAGAGTCTTTCCACCTGATCATCCTCCCATGCTACCAGGTCCTCCCAGGCTATGCTCCTGTGGGTGGCCACCCCAAAGGAGGCCAGGAAATCTTCGGTGAGAATCTGGGCCTTCTAGGTAGTGGCACCAACTCTCTGGAATCATCTCCCAGTCAACCTGTGCTTGCCCCCCATCCTCCCCAGTTTTAAGAGGCTGCTGAATGCCCTGTTATTCTGGGAGGCTTTTGAATGCAGCACCGCCTGAATTTTTGGCCTCTCGTCCAGTGGCCTTATTTGAAAGGCTGTGGCATCGTGGCTTCATGTATTCTGAGCATGCTTGTGTAGAGGTGGCCTGGAGTGCTCTGGGTTTTAGAGGCAGAGGTGAAGCTGTGTGCAAATTAAGAATTGGTTGCAAAATCAGAATGGCACTACAAAAGTCCATGGGGAGCCATATCATGCTCAGAGTTTGGAGAAGTTATGGATACACATTCCAGAATTCCCCAGTCAACTTGTATATTGCAGTGACCTGTAGCTTCAAGCAATAAAGCCAATCATCCTTCTTTCCTTCCTTCCAAAATGTTTTACCCACCCAGACCAAAGTGGGACAAGCATTACAGCAGGATGAGCATTACAGCAGGACGTCCAGCATGGATCAGGACCAGCACAGGGACATAGTTAGGGTGGTGGTTAGTCCAGTCCTGAATGTTGATATGTGTCTTGCCTAAAGCCCATTGCTGATCCCAGTCAGAGGAGATGATGGAATCCGTGGGTTTACCCTGAGTTTAATTTCATTCAGCACCTAATGGGGTGCACCTCCTCTAAGAGGACCTGAAGGCTGGATTGGAGCCTCTGTCACCATGTCTTACCCACGAGGTTTTGATTTTAAGAGAAAGCTCTCCACGGCTTAAATCATGATGGCCGCAAAGAGCTTCACATTGCAGGAGCAGTGCTCTGCTGAATTACAGATTGTAGCCAGCAGTGAATGGGAACAGGCTATTGTTTTGAGCTTTCCAGTGGCATCTGGTTGATAATGAGGGAATGCAGGATGCAGGATTACGGAGGTGTTACGGTTGATATGACAGTGGTACCTTCTTCTTAGTCTGTGTGATAAAATTAATCTCCATATTCTTTTGCTGTTTCTTCTTCTTCTTCTTCTTCTTCATCATCATCATCATCATCATCATCATCTTACAATTGCACAGGTGGAAGGGACCCTATGGATCACTGAGTACTCCCACTTGTCAAGGAGGCACAGTGGGGAATCGAACTGCCAGTCTTTGGCTCTGCAGCCAGATGCCTAAACCCCGATACTAATACTGCTTCAGTAAGACACAAACGTTTAGCTAAGAAGAGCTCTCAGGGAAGCCCTTTCCCTGGACTACATCCCCCAAGCTCCCCCTGCCAGCAGGATCCCTGGCTGGGGGATTATGGGAACGGTAGTCAAACAAGTGACCTATTCCAAGTTGTGATTGGAAAGATCAGCTGGGTGTCAGGCGTAACTGACCTGAACTACAGCCGCGGCTGTGGATTCAGTCCTCTTGCCCCGCCAGTGCTGTTTGGGAGAGGAAGGTTAGCAGGATTAAATGATATCTAATTAGATTTCATTTTAAAGACTAGATGCAGCAATTATGACATCTGAATAAAACGGCTTGTTATTTGGCAGGGTAGCCTAAGCAATGCACATAATTACAATAATTATAGTGTACCTAATGATATCTAATGGGAATCAACATAGCAAATCAAATGCCCGTAAAGTGTTCGGCAGGACAGCCTCCAATACTCTGTGGCAAATGAAATAACAAAAGGTTAATATGCCCGGCAGCTGATCGCTTCACAAGGACTCCATACAGGGTGATATCTGCTGAGATTAGCTATATTAGGAGGCAGCAGACCAGAAAACACCCCAAATAATAGTGTTGGTAATTGACGGCTGCATGTTAAAATGGTAGAACCTGGGTGCTCCGTGCCTTACTCTCCTTCTTTTAGGGCATCATCTAGCAATTCTGGAAGGAAAAGGTTGAATTTGGGTAATTCTTCTTCCCTGCTTAGCAGAGGCCAAACTGAGAGCTAGTGAACTTCAGCAGAAAGTCGCTTATTAAGCGGTTAATATAAACAAACAACAACAACAACAAAACCCCCCACCATACAAAACTTTCTGGCTGGTGGAAATCTGGAGGTTATAATCCAGAAAGCAACTCAACCTTCCGGCTGGTGGTAATCTGGAGGTTATAATCCAGAAAGCAACTTTCTCCAGTTGTGTGATAGACTCCACAGCTGATGATATCTCTCAGTTCTGTGTCTGTCCTGCATGGGTTGTGTTTTGATGTAATAAAAGCTGCCAATGTAGGTGATATGCTATAGATTTTAAACGGCAAGTGTCTGCCCAGGCTGTTGTTCCTCCTGCCTTCCATTCTGTGACACCCGCCCCCCCCAATCCATACTGCTTTCAATTATTTTCTTAAAGCAAGCAAACTACGGGGAGAGGCTAATCAAGAGTTTTATCCTTGGCTATTTTTCGTTCTGTTCTTTGGTCAAATCCAGTGGCAGCAGTAGAAATTTTGCAGTGATTAATGCTATGAAAAAGGATGAAACAATCTCAGAGAAGACTTCAGCGGACAGGATGGATATGATTGTTTGTGGCAATGAAGGCTGAGTTGACACAGCACAGTTAACATGTTGTTAAAAGCAGAGCTCCCTTGAAAAGTAAAAGATTAGTATTTTGTCTTAACATATGCTATTCTCTGCAAACTAGCTTCCTCCTTTTCCGTGGTTGGTCCTTGAGGAGAAAACATGGGTTTTGTTAGCAAGTCTCGGTTGCTCAGCCATGGAGCTCTAAATCACTTGCATGCCAGGAGGGAAATTAGAACCATCCAAGTTTTGTCACCTTTTCCGATTTAGATTGGAGGAAGTAATCCTTCAATTGAATCAGAGCACTTAAGCCTTCTGTTTTTTTAGAATTTAAGATTCATTGGCTACTAAATGAAAAATAAATCTGTTTATTCTACAGAACAGATCTCGGGGAAGCCTCCCTAGAAATAAAGTGCAGAAACATCTGTGTCGGCATATGGTTGTGTAAACATGGGAGGCAAACACACATAACAATTCTGAAATAAATTACGGCCCAGAATAAAGTCAGAAGCCCATTTAGAACCCAAATTGGAAGGTATAATCTTGGCAGTAATTAATCACTGGGATATGATTTTATGATCCCCACATTGATTTCTGGGATCCGAGGCTCCGATGTTATGCTGTTTATTTCACGGGTCTGGACAGATGGTGATGACGGAAATACAACATTTAGAAATCATTTTAAGAAAATAACAATTCTTTTTTTAAAAAAAAACACACTATAATTTAATGACCAATGATACGGGTTTTTACATTTTTAATAAATGCATCTTGAAATGAAGTCCATTGTTTTCGGCAGACTGCAACCCCACGTTTAGCATATGTACCGACATCTACAAAACTTTGTTTCCATTTTGTGTTCAGTGCCTTTCTCCTATACATCGAAGGATGCATTGCATCCATCAAATGAAGACTTTCACCGCCTGTTTGAAATGCAAAAGAGTCTCTGCACCACGCCTGTTGCAAGCTGAATGGCTTCCCTTCAAGTCCTCCGCTGTGAATCTCCAGCCGTACTGTAAAAACAAAGGCCATAATTGTGAGTTATATTTTCAGCTGATCAACAATAAACACAAGCAGGGCTGAAGAAAGCATATATCCAAGGTCTAACAACAGAAAACATACTGTGGTGCGGAGCAAAAGGTTGCTGTATTATATGGAACAAAAAGTCCCAGATTTGGAAGAGACAACGCAAATTGTTATTTGTCCTTTTAAATTGCTCAGTGTATTTTGATTATGGCAAGTGGTTTTTCTTAATCCTAAAGGAGTGAGCAAAGCAGTCCGAATAACCTCTCCCACGTATTGTTGTAAGTAAGAAGCAGCAGAACATTTGCGTGAAAAAAAATGGGTTTGTTTTATTGTTCTTTGTTCTTCTTTGATTTTTTTTCCCTGGGGTATGAAATCAGAAAAAACGGTATAGGATATAAACCAGAGAAGAGGTTTTGGCCACTAATTTGCCCCGATCAGGACTATTGTTAGGTGCTGTCAATTCAAAACTGACTTTACAGCAACCCTAACCGTTCCACAACCCCAATGAACTTCCATGGCTGAGCGGGGAATTGAACCTGCTCTTCCTAAGTCCCAGTTCGTCACTCTGTCCACTATACCATGCGTGGTATGAGATCAGGAATCATCTTACTATTAAGCAGAGATTGGAAATTTGGTAGGGAAGGCTTAACGGTTAACAAGCTTAAATAAGGGGAAAGCAAGATTTGTTATCTTACAAACAAATAAATAAATGGGCTATCCCCTTAGTAAGAGTCATTGGCTGGTCTGTTCAGCTTCTGTATGTAGAACTGGATCAGAGGAGGACCATTTTGTCCTTTGCCTCAGGCGGGCAAATGCCTTGGACAACCCCTAGGCCTCAGTACCACAGGTGGAAGTTGATATATTGGTGACCGTCAGGGAAACCATTTCAACAAAAATGAGGTCTCCCACAATTCTCCAGCCCTTGGTCACTGGAGGATCCGTAGAGTTAGGTAAAGGTAAAGGTTCCCCTTGACATTTTTTTGTCCAATCGTGTTCGTGCTCATCCCCGTTTCCAAGCCATAGAGCCAGCGTTTTGTCCAAAGACAATCTTCCATGGGCACATGCCCAGTGCGACTTAGACACGGAATGCTGTTACCTTCCCACCGAGGTGGTCCCTATTTATCTACTTGCATTTGCATGCTTTCGAACCGCTAGGTTGGCGGGAGCTGGGACAAATGACGGGAGCTCACTCCGTCGCATGGATTCGATCTTACAACTGCTTGGTCTTCTGACCCTGCAGCACAGGCTTCTGCGGTTTAGCCCACAGCGCCACCACGTGTAATTTTTTTCCTAGCTTGTGGGTTTAAGAACTGCTGAAGAGTTCAGTGGTTTAGCTCTGTGGCTGTGGAGCCAGAGGTTGGGAGTTTGATTCCCCCACTGGGCCTTCTTGACAGGGGCTGGACTGGATGACCCACAGGGTCCCTTCCAGCTCTGCCATTTTAGGATCATGATGATGATGAGCTCAGCATGTTGGTCTATGGTGAAGGTGATGCCGTTCTGAGAAGAAACTGTCTTGTGTGGCATCAGTGACTTCACATGTGTGCCACATCGAGCTGTTAATGCATCCATTTGTTTATTTTTTAAAATTTATATACCACTCCATTAGTGCGGCACATTATTCTGGGTGGTTTACAGAAAAACAAAAGACAATCCCACAAGAACAGGGTTATAAATAAAAGCAAGAGGCTATAAAACAATATATGTTTTCGTTACCCAAGGGAAAAGTTTGGTGCAGAAATATTTTGTGCAAATTTTAGAAATCACATGGTGTGTGTGTGTGGGGGAGCACTTGTCTCATTCTTGCACTGGAGGTGTGAAACCCAGTGGGTCAGTTGAGTGAGACTTTTTCACTTCCCTATTTAGGTCTAGGGATGGATGGATGGGTCAGTAGCCAGTCTCCGTTGTTTGTATGGGTGTTTATTCATAAAGATACTCTGTTAGCCTTCTGCGTTCATCTGTTTAAAATTGCAAGCAAAGATTTCCTTTAGCACCTCTGTCTTGGAGTGATTGATCCCCATATGGGATCAAGGCCCTCTTCTACCTTTACAAAGCCAATAGAAACTGATTTTACAACTAAGCTGTTTCCATTTATTCTGTTATTTCTTCCTCTTCATTTATGTCACTCATGCAGAAGACACACGGCGGAGTAAACAAAACAAGAAATGCCAAAGATGTTCCACCCTTTTCCTCTGTAACTTGTTCAGAATCATGGTTCCTGTGAGCACCGATGATTTATAGGAGATGAGTTTGACGTCTTTACATGACAGACGGGAGAGAATGAGTGGACTCAACATTGCCCGTGGATACGTTTTTGAGCTGTGTACTTGGGAGCCTGATAAACAAAAATAACAAATGTAACAGATTTGCTGTTACAAATTTTTAGCCATTAAAATTTTAATGGCTAATCTTATGTGAATTGTGTTGATTCTGATCAATTCCGTTTCAAAGGTCGGGACTGATTCTACCTACCATTAAGGTAATCATTTAAGATGAACATTAAGAAGGCCAAAATCAGAAGAACTAACTTTAATGTTAACCATGAAGACATTGCAATAGCTTTGTGTTTTGTACAGCTTGATTCGATCATCAAAACCAGATGGAGACTGCAGCCAAGAAATAAGAAGACTGAATCTTGGAAGGGGGCCAACTAAAAAAGATCATCAAGTGTAAGGATCTGTCACTGGGGACCGAGCTCAAGGTCATCCACACTAGACATAGGATATTTGTATTCGTATCTTGAGGGATACAAATATCGGCACTGCTGGTGTCAGCAGAAACCAAACCCTCAGCCACATAGCGCCAGTTGTGGAAGTAGTCCAGCTAGCGCTTCCCTGCCTCCCCACACAGCTGACCACTCAGAAACAGAGCAGGGAAACTCAGCATCCCACCTCCTTGCTAGAGTGGTCAGCTGTGTGAAGAGGCGGGGAAGCATTGGGAGAGGGTTAAGCTTATGCTGGCATCTGTGGTGCTGATATTCGTATTCGTATCTCGGGGAAACTCCAGCATCCCACCTCCTTGCCAGAGTGGCCAGCTGTGTGAAGAGGCGGGGAAGCACCGGGAGAGGGTCCAGTTTATGCTGGCATCTGGGGTGCTGATATTCGTATCCCTCGGGGTAAGAATATGAATAGCTCATGTCTAATCCCCACTGTTGTATTCCCGATTACTATGTATAGGTGTGAAAGGTGACAGGGAAAAAAATGATTTGTTTCCACTGTTGTATTCCCAATTACTGTGTATATGTGTGAAAACTGACAGGAAAAAAACTGATTTGTTTGAAACATGGTGCTGAAGGAGGCCTTGGTGGGGGCCCTGAATTGCCAGAAAGATGAACAAGTGGGTCCTGGAACAAATAAAGCCTGAACTCTCTCTGGAGGCAAAAATGATGGATCTGAGGCTATCCTACTTTGGGCACATGTTGAGAATGCAAGATTCTGTGGAAAAGACAATAATGCTGGGCAAAGTGGAAGGCAGTAGGAAAAGAGGAAGACCCAATTTGAGATGAATTGACTCCCTAAAAGAGTAGTTCCCAATCTTTTTCAAGTCATGACCCCCTTTTTTAATCATCAAGTAACCTGTGACCTCCTCCATGTTTGCATAAAAAGGCATTTTCCTCCTTCTACTCAGAAAACAGAGAGGCTTCTTTCTTTCCCCAGAAGGCCTGTTTCTCATACATCCATATACACGCTCGCTTTAATATCCTGCTCTGAAAGGTCAAGGAAGAAATGATTTAACAAGGGTTGCCACACATATAACGGGACTCATGAACACCCAGAAAATGCACACTCCTTAAGGGTGATGATGACTCACGGGTTGGGAAACACTGCCCTAAAGAAAACCACAGGATTAAGTTGAGTTGAGTTGAGCAGGGCATTTTGGAGGTCACTCATTCATAGGATTCACCATAACATAGGAGCGGCTTGACAGCACACAACAGCAACAATGACCTTTTAAGATATAGCAGAAATACTGGATTTCTTTTGCTAGCCTGCAGAAGTGTTTTGCTTTGTTAAACGGGACATGAAAAACTAAGCTTCTGCCTCAGCTAGCTGAGTAAAGAATTACTGTCTCACCATAATTGAAATCGATGAAATTTACTTGCAGAGTGGAGCATATTGCAAAGTAATCATGCTTTAGGATGTTGGCCTTAAATCCAAGATCCTTAAAGGCACAAATGTGACAATGCCAACATAGGTCAGGATTTGGAAAGTAACTTGAACAAAAGTAATTTGTGGCCAGAATATTATTGATGTTCTTGTAAGGTTGGCTTAACTGGAGGCAGTCGACTGTAGCTAATTGACAAGGTGCCTGGGCCGACTTCAGTTGAGCAACCCAGTATTTGGAGACATTGTCTCAGCACCTTCTCGGTTAGCTGCAATTAATGGTAACAAAGTATACAAACCAGACACAAACACCGATAGGATTCTGGCCCCTGTCTGATGAATACATGGCCCAGAATCCTATTGGTATTTTACTCTAGAGTACATGAAATTGCTTAAATGATGTCAAGAATTGCAACTAATTAACAAGGTGCCTACTGAATGCCAGTTTGTCCACCTGGTTGTGTCACCAGCACCCAATTCATTAGTTTTGATTGACCCTCATGACTTTCACAACTTTATTCAGAATAAACTCTCAATAAGATTCTGGCTATTATATAGCATCAGGTTTGCAACAAAGCAATGGGTTTAACTACCAAAGGGGAATTCAGATAGTCAATGAATAGAAGCATACATCAGCAGGAATTTGCATATATATATAGTTAGATATTGTAACCTGCTATCAAAAAACAACACTCCTATTGTGTTGTTTGGGGCTCCTTCACTGCCTATGCCATCCACAAGACTGTGCTTCATAAAGACTGAGAAATTCATAAAAGGGAGCTATGTGTGTGTCACATACATTATAATCACAACTGTCAGTAAAACTAAGCTCCTTTTGTTACACCTCTCATAATAATAGCAATCTTAGACACAATCCAGTTAGGTGCACTGAGATTGGAAATGGCATCTGATTATTAAGTTCTTTGGGGGGTGAAATAGTACGTACTATTTCTGGGACAGTTTTTGGAAGCAGGAACCTTTTAGAAAAGCTTTTGTTGTCTTGAGAGCCAGATTTTCTTGCATGGTGAGCCCAGGGGAATCCACAAGAGGTTCCAGCTGGGTCTGTCCTCCAGGTTTTGATCGGAAGAAGGTCAAAGGTCAGGAGCATTCACTTTCTCAGGCTGGGGTTCCCAGAGTTTTCCATCTGGCATGGCCATCTAGTTAACTTCAGTCAGGTGACCACCATCATTCTGAGCCCTTGGATGAAAAATCTGAAGGTTGGCCATCTTCTTCCATATTCAACCTCAAGCTGTCTCTACTTCAAATATGGAGAAATTTGCAAAGTTTGTCAGAAAGGAACCAACATGAAATGCTCCTTCATATGCACCAGGCAAACTTTAAAGGTTTAAAGGCATTGCTGTTCCCAACATGGAAATGGAGGCATATTGACACTGAGATATTAAGGATGTGAAGCTAATCTTAATGGCTGGCTGGTTATTCCTGTGGGTATTTAATGCTTATGTTGTTTCTTCACTCATTTCTCCAATCTGCGGCAGGGGCTGAAACGTCGAGTTTGGAGTGAGGACGCCTGGCTTCTCAAATCTTCAGCTCAGTTACAAAGTTGACGAGTTGTCTTCAAGCCAGTCACGGTCATTCAGCAAAACCTACTTCACAGGGGTGTTGTGGAAAGATAACAGTGGCAGGTGGACGGAAAGAGAAGTCTTGTCCCTTTGAGCTCCTTGGAAGAAAACTGGAGTACGAATGCAAAGAAATCAAATGTTGACTTCAAGATTGCATTGGCGGAGATCCAACATCTGGATCTAGATCCTTATATATTTAATTCATCCTTAGGGGGGGATCCATTGGTATCAAGGAGGCATCATAGGGGACTTGCAGTTGGGTGATTTAACTACGATTCCCAGGATTCCATTGGATGGATCCATGCGGATTAAAATTGTACCAAACCACTGTAAAGATGCAATGAGGATATATTAATTTCCACGGAAATTAATGGGGCTTAAGAGTTGTAACTAACCTGGAGACAATTTATGGATCTTCCCTTCCCTTTTGTTACACCAGTAAAGAGGGAGAGGTCAAAATGGCTTTGCTTATAGCTCAGATGAGGAAAAACAGCTGAAGGGCATAATATGTGAGGGGATACACACGTGGTTGAGGAGGAAAACGCAGAAGGCTGGATCAGGCCATAACCTTTTAGTAGCCGACCCTGGCCTTTAATTGGTTCTTCCACTGCTCCCCGTCCTCTACTTCCATCAATATATTTCACGTGTGGGTGACAATGTTTTGGTTTTTTTCTTTTTCAGTCCTAAGATAAGGGACCTTGTTTTTTTCCCCCGTGAAGAGGTGCTTTGTTAAAATATTGGCAGCTCATCATGGGGTCCATAGAAAGGGCTGTTTGGTGGGGAAAGGTCGGAGGTCAAATTTCGTTGGGCTTGTCACTTAGAGTCAATCAGAACCTTATCTTTTCGCCTCCTGAGCCGGGCATCCATCGTGTCAAAGGAAGATCTTAGGATAAACAGAAGGGTTTCCAAGGACAAGAGGTGGTTCTTAGGAGGCATGAGAAGAGGGAGAGCAAGCGGGAAGAAGCATTTAGGGCCTGATCCAAACGAACGGAAGCATTTTTATGCCCGGTTGATTAAACTTTCAATGGCTTTATTGTATGATTTGCTTTTTAGTGTTGGTTGTAAGTCCCCTTGAGAGCTCCCCCTCCCCAACGAGAATGGAAATTGAGGGCTGGATAAAACAATTGGAAAAAAAATAAGCAAATTCAAATGGGTTGCTAAGTGCAACTTAACAGGTTTTACATCAGGAGCATGTTGCCTTAATTTTTTATTCAATGCCTTTTGTTCCTTCTGCTTTGCTTTCATTTTATCCAGACCTTTTTTTCTCCAGAATCATCCCCATTTATGATAGCCTTAACTTATTTTATTTTATATTTTGCAGAGGCAACAAATATACGGCAGGGATTTTTTGCCTACAATTTCCACGAGCTCTGTTTATTATTGTAACTTCTGGAATCCTCTACAACCTTTGGGTGCTGGGAGTCATAGTTGGAAAAAAAAGTCTTACATGTTCTGTTTCTTTCGCACCCTTTCTACTGGTGATGATAGTCAAAGTCAGGGCTGTAGCTAGGATGGGGCAATGGGGACGTAGCCCCAGGGTACCAAACAGAGAGAGAGAGCGTACCTTTGCCCAGAGAGGTAGAGAAAGTTGGAATTTACAGCTCCTGGCATCTTGCCACCTAAGTCATCCACCTCACCCTGCCTAAGAAT